GACTTAAATCCAGCTCCACTCTCCACAATAAAAATTGTCACTTGTATTTAACTATTATCGAATTCAGAGTGTACTGAGGAAGAAATCCAGCATCAAATGCATCTTGGTGTCTCATCTAACATTAACTGTCACATTACAAAAGGACAGCAAGTGTCTAGGCCACGATCCCATCCGATCTCGGAAGCTAAGCAGGGTAGGGCCTGGTTAGTACTGGGATGGAAGACCACCTAGGAAGACCTGGTGCTGTAGGTGTAAAAATAAAAAAATTAAAAAAAAAAAAAAGAATTTTTTTTTTTTTTAAAGGACAGCAAGCACTCATGATAGGTGCAGTATGATAAAAAGTCCATGTAGGTAGGGGCATGTTCAAGAAACATGGTGTAGCCCAGTTGAGGTACTATTTGGTTTTTATTAAGGAGAGTAATGGCAGATAACGCTGCGAAGTTGGGTTGGATTCTTGGCTGGGGTAGTGACAAATAAGAGCGTGGATGAATTCAACATCCTTTTCCCACCCTACAGCCTCATTCCCAAAACACAACAGAACCAGAACTCAATATTTGCATGATAAATTTTATTCCCGATGCGGGACAGTTTCCTTCCATCCCCCAAAAGAATCACATGCTGCTGTGGAGAGATCTAGGAGATTCTCCTATCAGCTCCAGGGAAGGAGTAAGAAAGGCAGGTGCTAGAGACAGGAAGGTTTTGCAGTTCCCCAGACTACTTATCCACCCTGTCTCAACAGAGGGTAGCTGCTCCCCACTATTAGTTCTTATCCACTCATCCCTTAAAAAAGAAAAAGCACCTTCATTATTAGAAAAAACACCACCACCTCAAGTATGGGGGAAGGGGTCCTGGGCCGAGACATGAGGTCAAGGATCGCCAGCGTAAGAAGGAAGAGTATAGAGGAGCCATCACTGTTTCTGCTGCAGGGCCTCCTTCCTTGCTGCATCCTGTAGCAACTGTGTATCCACCTCATCTGCTGGCAACTGCACATAGCGCACCACTGAGCCCCGGATGAAGCAGTTCTTCACAGATAGCTAGACAAAGGCAGGCAAATGTGAAAATACCCTTAAAAAGGTCCTCTACCTACCCAAGGGCCTCCTGCTTTTAGAGGTGTTTCCTCTTTTCCACCATCCCCAACTCACCATGTGAGGGTATTTCTCAGGATCTGTGACACTAATGTCAGTTAGTTTGATGTTGAGATACTAAAAAAAGATGAACACCATCATTAGCCTTAGAGACAAGATGCAAGTACCCAGCCATTAAGCAATCCCCTTTCTCCTTCCCCAAGACCGAATCCTGGTCTCTTGCTTTGTCTCACCTGATCCACAGAATGGAGGGTTCCACAGATGCTGTCAGGAGCAGAGGGAATGAAGAACCAAATTAGTTTAAGCCAAAGTCAACATACAAGTGATTTCTGAGCTAAGAACATGGTTGGGGGAAGTCAAGAATAAGTGGAAGCCAGAATAAGTGGGACCAAAAGGGGCATTCCTAAGCCCTGGAGTAGGAAAGACAGTGCTTCCAGAGTCGTGTGTTTAGACTGTACATCTCTCCCTAAACCAACCCACTCTTAATAGCTACCATTAAACACGGGACTTGTATTTCACCTGTAACTGTGCATAGCATTTGTAATTTTTATAGCCATTTTATAACCTTTTAGCTACTTTACAAAGTAGCTATGACTATCCAGAGGCTCAGAGAAGTTGTATAACTTGCTGTTTAGAATAAACAGGGATTCAGTCCACATCTGCCTGACACCCAGAACCATCAGCTATTTTGAAACATTTATTGCTTTAGAACCAGAGCCCCATATGTAAAGTAGCTAGCATTGCTCTTGTTGATTAAGGCACAAGGGGCATTCTCTCCCTTCCTCAATCCTTGAGACCCTGAAGTGTTAATAATGCTATCAAAACACCAGTGCTTCAAGCTCTGCTACCTCTCACCCAACTTCTTTTATAGTCAGTAGCTTCAACATTGTCTCACAACCTAAAATCCCATGAGTAGTATTTCTCCACCCACCACGTCCCCTGAATCCACATTGATTTCTAACGCTTTTGTAATTTTCTTTCTAGTCTGACTTCTACAAACCAAGGTTTTATTACTTTATACCTCAATCCAGGCCTCCCTCCAACCTGGCCATCCTCACCCTAACCGTCCTGTGTGTCTTCACCCAGATTCTAAGTTTCCTTAGAACCATGGTTCTCAAGCACTGATGTGTGCTCAAAAGTTTTGAGTCCACGGTAAAAGGGGAAACGAAGGCTAGTATAGTGTGTGTGGAGTGTCTGTGCAGTGTACTAAAGGTTGTAACTGTCCTATTTTGGGGGGTATTAAAAATTTTTTGTTACTAGAATAAATGGCAGTTCTTTTAATCTTATCTTGCCAAAAATAAAGTTGGCAGTTCTCTGTTGGACCCTAATTTTTCTAAAATTCTAAGTTGCTGATATCCAGTATCTGAGACCTACTACTTGAGTGGTGGTTTCACCATATTCCTGGCTACTGAAAAGCCTTTGACAGTACCTACCACCATCTGCAGCAATAATATTTAGGAATTGCATAAGGTGATATTATTTCATTCAATCCTTTAAGAAGGAGATATTTGGACAAAAGTGGTCTGATAACAAGCTTGAAAGAAAGAGCTCTTCTCTCAACCCAATGGACTACCTTCTAATCTTATAGTCCTTGCTTTAGGACCTGGGGCTAAAACACAACAGTTGCTTTTGCCAGGTAGAAGGTCTAGAAAGGAGAAAAGAGGAAAACAAAAAACAAGTCATCTCACAGAGTTGCATAGGGTTGGTCTTGTCCACACTTGTCTCTCTATATGGGCCTAATCTATACGCCATCAATACCATATGCACTACCAGTGTCATACATGGAAATTTCTGTTCTAAAAGGCAAGTCCCTCTCCTCACCTCTCCCTGCCATGTCAACGTTTCTTCCTCTAAGAAGTATTGTACATAGAAATGTGGAAGACACTGTTAGGGAGAGAATCAAATAATAAGTATCAATATTTTAAATATACAACTCAATTAAAGGATTTTTTTCTAAAGAACTGGGAACAGCCTAAGTGTCCAACGGCAAGGCCACGGTTAAATTAGTTACAGTCAGTTAATAAAGATACCACTCAGACATTAAGAACGTTAAAGATCAACTTTATTAACATGGAAAATATCTATAACATCTGTTAAGTGAAAAACAAGTTTCACAACTGCATAGAGAACATGATCCTGTTTTTAACTAAAAGAAAAAAGCCAGACAGAATTGGATTTTAATTCTGGATGTGTCATTTACTAGTTGTATAGACCTGAGCAAGTTTAGCCTATCCGAACTTCAGTTTCCTCATGTGTAAAACAGCAACGATAGTATATGTCATATAGGGGTGTTATGAGAATTAAATTAGTTAATAAGTGTAAAGTATTCAGAATATTGCTTAGTCCTCAATTGTGAGCTAATTATCTTCTTTTCGATACGCATTTATTAAGCTCCTACTACATACCAGGCCTATGCTAGACATTAGGTAGACAATGGTGAGCTTAAACATGGTCCTGGCCCTATAGAAAAAATAGGCCATAAACAGTAAATGTACTTATCTGAAATGAAAATTTGACAAGAACCCACTAGGAAGAAAATAAGACTCTATGATAAAGGGGGTCTATTGGCTAGAAGGATCAGGAAAAGACTCTCCAAAGATACAGCATTTAATCCAAGTCCTGAAAGATGATTAGGAACTAATGACAAAAAGGGGTAGGTGATGTAAAAGTGGTACAGACAGAAGGGACCTCAGTGCTCGTTTATCCTTTACATTTTCTTTAACAAAAGAAAGATTATGCTACATACGCTATTCTGCAATAGCTTTTCATATAAAGACATCTCATTCCTATATGACAGCTGCATAATATGGTAGTATCATAATTTAATTAATCCACTCCCTATTAATAGCTCTTTTCAACTTTTACAGACATCTCTGTACATATATGTTTACTTGTGGATTCTTACATTTCTAGAAGTTGGGTCAAAGGAGTATATAATAAGAAAAAAAATTATGTTTTGTAAAGGACGTCATTGATGCCTCCGTCCTCTGACCTCTCTGAACTCTTTACATATTTTTTCTTTGTATTTTTCTCCAATACAAGATACAACTCTCCAGCTAATCTGTCAGTTTAAAGCACAAGTCATATTCGTCAAATTATATTAAGAGGTTCCTGAGGAGGTGGACACGTCCATTCCCTTCAGACTTGTTGCAATAGGTACCTACCTCAGGTCATTCTTGAGTTCCACGACCACATCCTTGCCGACAAGGGACTTGAAAAAGGAATAGAAGAGCTACCGGGGAAGAGAGGGAAAACCATCATGTGGGAAGGGACATGGTAGTGAGGAGTGTCCTCCTGCCACTATTACCAAATACTGGTATTGGGATCCCCGCCACATCTCTGGCAGTTCTCAAACTTCACAATAAAAAACACTCGGTGACAGAGATGAACGACTGGTGCCCAAATGGTTCCGCACACTTCATTGAGCCCCTGACATAAAGCCCTAGAAAGAGGCTCTGCCCTGCACTCCTCAGGCTTTCCGGGCTTGTTTCTCAATCCACCATCTCTGCTGGGGTCCCGGCCCACTCCTCCTAGGGAAGTGTAGAATGTACCTCCCACCAAACTCTCGAAGCCGTCAGGAAAATGCTCCCTGAGGTCTAGCTTTTCCTTCTCCTGCTGTTCCTGCCGACTCTCCCTCGGGTTTTTTTCTCCTTATTAAGAGAAGAAAAAAAAAAATCCCACGTGCTCCTAGGTGTCTCCTCAAAGAACTTGAAACGCAGGAACTAAGGACGGAGGGCAGCCCAAGGCCCAACTCCAGCGCACAGAACAAAGCCGGGATCCTCACTCCAGCGCCAACTGTCCGACCCGCCCGCGCTCCCCAAGGGTGCCCCCTTGTGACTTCACGGTACCTACCATGGTGCTCGCGCAGCGGGCTGCCGGCCGGACTGGGCAGGCGACAGCCTGGTGCCGCGGGCTAGAAGCTGGGCAGGAACGGGAGCGCGAGCCCGTGTGTGGGGCGGGGCGGGGCGGGGCGGAAAACGCCGTGGGAAGCTGGGAATACCGGTGGAGGGCGCGAGTCCGGCAGAGCGAAGGGCACACTAAAGCCGAGGAAGGGGTGGGGCTTCCTGCCTCCCGACGTCCTCCGGGAGCGGCGGCATCCACTGCGCAGGCGCCGCCCCAGCCTGAGGGCCGGAAAGGCTCCTGGCTTAGCCTACGTCCCGCAGACACTTCTATTGAAAACTTGGGGAGTTTGTGACACCTTAATTTGTACACTTTTCTGTATATCTTAAACTTCCTAAAAATGTTTTAAAAAGTAAAATGTTGAGTCCCCGAGATCAGCGGCCTGAGCACAAATCTTGATTTTATCAAAGATTCCCTCCCAATTAACCTATTTCTCCCAAGGACCCCAATCTCAGTCCACTTTTCTTATATACTTTTGCCTAGAGCTGTCTTGTGAAGGACTGAGTAAAACCAAACAGACTGGCTTGAGGATAGAAATAGCCATTCTGTTATTTAACAAACAAATATGCCCCCCCCCAAATACAAAGGGTCACAAACACTTCTAGACTCATGTCCCCAAGATTTTTATAAATATGCAATATTAAAAGAATAGATGAGAATTATAGAAATGTTTCTGCGTGTAAAGGATGTCATAATGGTCTTTGAGTGCATACATGCCGATCTCCTAAACTCCATCTATAAGTGACATCAGGACATCAAGCAGAAGTTTGCCCTGACTTGTTGAACCCTAAGCACCTAAATTGGTCTATCACTGAATATAAGCAGTAATTATAGTTACCAACTGCTCTAGCTGGGGCTAAAAATGCCTTATGATCAAAAGTTATTTTCCTGCTTGAAACAGCTTGTGAAAGTTCAAATACTTTACCCTTCAAAATTAGCTCACAATCATACCACACATGCTCTCTCAATGACTTTCCCTTTTCCTTACTTTTCAAGATACACTCACAGTTTAAAAATACCAGAAATAATTTGCTTTAGGAACAAATTTACTGAGTGACAAATAATTATCCACACAGAGAGGAGAAAGTTAGGAACGGTGGAAATAAATAACAAACATTCAAATTCATCAGATGGTTCAAATAGGGGCCTAGGTTTCCTAAGAGTCTCATTCCAGAGTAAGAAACAGGACAATGGAATGTGAAAAGATGGCATATGAAACTCCTCCATCAGAATCCCCAAACGATGGTAACTTAGGCTCAGGTCCAGTCAATTCAAGAATCATAACAATGTCTGAAGAAGAGGGTAACTATTCACCTTCGAGGCACCCTAGAACCCTCCAGCTCCAGATAAGATTAATCTACTTCTTCAATGGTGGGGCCTGTGGCAGCCCTTCCAGGCACATTCCCTGTTCCACAGGCAGGCCCAGAGCACCCTCCCTGGTAGAGTTTTGTGACGACTGGATTACACACTTGTTCCAATTCCTTTCTCTTATGATCAAACTCATCTTTCTCCGCCAGTTGATTGGCCTCCAGCCATGAAAGGACCTCATTGCATTTATCCAGTATTTTCTTTTTATCAGTCTCACTAATCTTTCCCTTCAAGCCTTCATCACTCACAGCACTCTTCATGTTAAAAGCATAAGATTCTAAGGCATTTTTTGCAGCAATTTTCTCTCTCTGGACCTCATCTTCGGCTTTGTATTTTTCAGCATCCACAACCATGCGCTCAATCTCCTCCTTGCTCAGGCGGCCCTTGTCATTGGTGATGGTGATCTTGTTGGCCTTGCCGGTGCTCTTGTCCATGGCTGTTACATTGAGAATACCGTTGGCATCGATGTCAAAGGTCACCTCGATCTGAGGAACTCCTCTAGGTGCAGGAGGGATTCCAGTCAGGTCAAAGCGCCCCAGCAGGTTGTTGTCTCTTGTCATGGCCCTCTCACCCTCATACACCTGGATCAATACCCCAGGCTGGTTATCTGAGTAGGTGGTAAAGATCTGCGTCTGCTTGGTGGGGATGGTGGAGTTGCGCTTAATTAGGACCGTCATCACGCCCCCGGCTGTCTCCAACCCTAAGGACAAGGGAGCCACATCCAACAAAAGCAGGTCCTGTACCTTTTCGGACTTGTCCCCCATCAAAATGGCTGCCTGTACTGCAGCCCCATAGGCCACTGCCTCATCTGGGTTGATGCTCTTGTTGAGATCACGGCCATTAAAGTAGTCCTGCAGCAGCCTCTGAACCTTAGGGATGCGGGTGGAGCCTCCTACTAAAACAATGTCATGAATTTTAGCCTTGTCCATCTTGGCATCACGAAGAGCCTTCTCTACAGGCTCCAGAGTGCCCCTAAACAGATCTGCACACAACTCCTCAAACCGGGCTCTGGTAATGGATGTGTAGAAGTCAATTCCTTCATAAAGTGAATCGATTTCCAAGTTGGCCTGGGTGCTGGACGACAGGGTCCTCTTGGCCCTCTCGCAGGCAGTGCGCAGCCGCCTCACGGCTCGCTTGTTCTGGCTGATGTCCTTTTTGTGCTTCCTCTTGAATTCTTCCACAAAGTGACTCACCAGCCTGTTGTCAAAGTCCTCTCCACCCAAGTGGGTGTCCCCAGCTGTGGCCTTTACCTCAAAAATCCCATCATCTATGGTCAGGATGGACACATCAAATGTGCCTCCACCCAGATCAAAGATCAGTACATGTCGCTCTCCCTGACCTGCTTTATCTAAGCCATAGGCAATGGCAGCAGCTGTGGGTTCATTGATAATTCTTAACACATTGAGACCCGCAATCACACCTGCATCCTTGGTGGCCTGGCGTTGAGAGTCATTGAAATAGGCTGGCACAGTGATCACAGCATTGGTGACAGGGTGGCCTAAAAAAGCCTCAGCAGTCTCCTTCATTTTAGTTAGTACCATAGAAGAGATTTCCTCAGGGTAGAAAGCTTTTTTCTCCCCTTTGTAGGACACCAGCACCTTAGGTTTGCCTCCTTCATTGATTACTTGAAAAGGCCAAAGTTTCATATCTGATTGCACTACAGGATCATTAAATTTTCTGCCAATCAGACGTTTGGCATCAAAGACAGTGTTCTGGGGATTCATGGCTACCTGGTTCTTGGCGGCATCCCCGATGAGCCGCTCGGTGTCAGTGAAGGCCACGTAGCTAGGGGTGGTACGGTTGCCCTGGTCGTTGGCGATGATCTCCACCTTGCCGTGCTGGAACACCCCCACGCACGAGTAGGTGGTGCCCAGGTCGATGCCAATGGCCATTCCCTTAGTAGCAGCCATGGTTTTCCGAGGCCTATTGAGAGCAAATGAGATGAAATCTTGGTGGAGTGCTTTTTATTTTATTTATTATTTTTAATTCTGGTAAAATACACATAACATGAAATTTACTATCTTAACCATTTTTAAATGTACAGTTCAGTAATAAGTTCATTCACAGTGTTGTCCAACCATTCTCCAGAACTATTTATCTTGCAAAACAATTCTATGCTCACTAAACAACTCCCCATTCCCTGCTCCCACCAGCCCTGGAAGCCACAACTCTACTGTCTCTATGATTTTGACTATTCTAGGTAGCTCAAATTAATGGAATTAGATACTATTTTTCTATTTTGTGACTGGCTTATTTCACTTAGTATAGTGTCAAAGTTCATCTATGCTACACCATGTGTCTTGATTTTCCTTCCTTTTAAAGGATGAATAATATTCCATTGTGTATCCACATTTATTCATTTATTCTCTCCATGAACACTTAGGCTGCTTCTACCTCATGGCTATTGTGAATAATGCTGCCATGAACTCAGCATACAAGTATGTTTTTAGTGTACAAATATTTTTTCCAGACAATGTTTTCATGCTTTTCCAACAAGTTAGACAAAAGTATTCTTAGCTAACTAGAAGTGGGAAGGCTGTGGGTGTTAACTGTCTTCAGTTTCTTACGTGTCCTGACTCAACTATCCTCTCCT